CCCCCCCCCCCCCCCCCTCCCTAGATTGTCTGGTTTCTTGACTGCCCCACTGAATGGGGCTTTTCAGCAGCCTGCAAACGCAGACGTATTTCTGGCTGTCACTCCTCGCCGCCGGAAATACGTCAGCGTTCGCAGGCTAGCTTATCAGGGGCAGTGGAAACGAACAATGGAAAAGATAATGTAAATGAATGGTTAAAAGTCCCAATTGGCAGGAGGCACACCAGTAGTTATTTACAAGCACGGCCAAGGAATTGAACTCGGGACTACCCAGAACAACACCAGGCAATAGTCAAAACGGGACGTGAATCCGCAACCTCCGAATTTCAAGTGCGGTGCCCTGATCACTCGGTTTCTTCAGACCTGACCACCCAATCCGGAGTGCTACGTCCTCACAACACCAGCATACACTACCACTTTTTACTCCTTTAGACACGTAATCAGGATGCTTTTAGTTCACCTGGGTTACAGACGTCTCGCCTCGCACCCAATTCACATTCTTTTGAGAGGTCTTTAGAGAGTCGTTGAATGTGTCTGATTTTGCACGAGAAATACCCCCAACCGAAGGGGGGTGGTGGGGGTGGGGAGGGGTCAAGTTCTGCGCATGTCTTTTCAGTCATGCTTCAATCTTTACAAAATCAACTTGCAACTAGTTTATTCGCCAAAGAGCATTTAGCAAACTAGAAAACAGATTCGCCTACCAGTGGTAGTCGGTAGTGACCTCTTGGATGTAGTGACAGTACCTGTTGGTGCGGCTGGAGTTAAAGGAAGCTTTGACGGTGCAATGAGACCGGAGGTATTTTTTCGCGGATCTGTAATTGTTCCATACAAAATCAAAGACCAGCTATATAGTGTACCTAGAACAAATGGCAAAATACATTACGTCTGTTCAGTAATAGATCACAAGTGTAACAGATCACAAATGCGGTAAGATCATCAGTGACACACTTGGCAATCGCCTCGTCTGCCACCTTTTTGTTCTTACCACATTGTGAAATTTCATTTTAAAGCACACTTTTCTTCTGCGTACTGGGATTACAATGATTTACTGGGATTACTAATATATACCCAATAATTACGTTCGTGTTTCCAGGTAAAAATCTGGAAAGTTACAATTTTAAGGGAACACAATCGTGATTTGTTTCAGTTCAGTATTTTAGCCACGTAAAAACTAACCATTTAATTTGGCGGAAGGAAACCTGAAAATAGTTGCTTACTATTAAAGATAGATAAACACCAAAGAATAATAAACCATAGAGGAACAATTGCAAGGATACTTAAAGATAGAGAAGATTGACACGGATTACAAACTACGAACTTGAAAAATTTTGGCTAAACTTTTTAAGATGCACAAGCTGTGACGTAGCTCCTTTAAAGGGGCTTTAATAACGATGTGTAACAACGTAACATTAGGCCCAACTAGCATCATGATGCAGTTTGTTTTAAGCATTCACGAGACGATAGGCAAAAGCTATAACAAACAAAAAAATGATTTCGTGGTCGAAGATTCAACAAAATCTCCTGTTTTTCGTGTATGGAAAGTCCTGGTTTATCGAGCAGGTAAACTTCGCTTACGAGGAATGTGTTTTGGTTTTGCTGGTAAGAAGATTAATTCTTAAGTATTCTGAGACTTTTTTCCCTGAAAAAAAAAACAA